TCCATATATTTCCATTTAGAATGACCAACTTCTAATATCAGTTGGCAAAATTATTAGATGTATTTATGATCAAAGTATTCTTGATGTTGTTAATAATATTCAACGGGAAACAAACCAACAACTCGAGCTTTTTTTAGCTTCTTATGCATTTCAATCATCAGCACCACATAAAGATATTGGTTAGTAGAAAATATCTATTTCTCAAGATTATTCAACTGTTGTTTTTCTTTAGGCAATCTCCTTCTTGATGGATTTTTTTCATCGAATGAAGATATTCTTGTTCCAGTAAAGCGATCTCCATCGAATAATCATCTTTCATTGATTTCATCGACAGAAGCTTTTTTGACAAATTCTAAACATATTGAAACATTTCTTCATGTGCCTCTTGTTCCTTTTGCTATTGGAAAAAATAATTTTTTTAAAGTATTAAAAGACCGTCAATGGATTGAAGAAATCGATAATGAAACAATTTTAGTTAAAATTCATCAATCAATTTTTCTATTTAATGAATTTATTGAATTACTTCGTTGGTTATGTAAATATGATATTAATAATAATAAATCTTATATAAAAAGTGTTCTTTCAAAAATACATTATCGTGAAACTCATCAATCATCTGTTATTAAATTAAAAAATATTGAATTTTATAACACTCTAAATATAGGTTCTCTACCACTGCCACCAAATGTATTACCATCCAATATAACTAGTCATATATCTCATGAAGACTTACAAACACGATTATCATTATCAACAATATCACCAAAGAATTTTGTTCAATATTACCTTGATGAAGATCAACAACAACTTTTTCGTAATGAGAATACATCTAAAATTCTTCTGAGTGTTATTTGTCAACATTGGAACCAATTCAATGACACTGTATCAAATAAAATAAAAATTATTTTATCTAACATGAAATGTATTCCAACAAGTCAAGGTATGAAATCACCAAATGAGTCTTATATTCGATCATCAAATTTATCTCCTGATTTACCTATAATTACACTTTATATTCCACAACTTGAACAAGATAATTATCAAAAAGAAAAACAAGAATCAACAGATTATCCAGTATCAACTGATTTTCTTAAATCAATTGGTTGTCGAACAATTTATATATCAACATTAACACATGCTTCACATATTGAATCAAATATGTCATCAAACGATTCACAAACGCTTGAACATTTCATTCAAGATTTATTAAAACAACGTAAAAACATGAGTGTCAATGATTTCTATGCATTAAAACATAATCAATGTATTGCAGGTTAATTTAATGAAACATGATCTAAAAGCAGTGTTGCACTATAGGGAGATGAGGGAATTTGAGGACTTCAACAGACTATGATAGACGTTAATCAGCGACCATAACGAACGTTGATAGGCGTTAGCCTGAAATAATCACAGATCATTACAAACAGTTAATCATCCCTGTATCCTCCCCCACACTTACAGCCGGAGCTACATTGTTTCCCGTATTTTAAAACCGCATGAATAGAGTTAAACTTTATACTTTAATTCAGAAATGTATTCTGTAAATATTTTTTGTTTCATTTTCTTTTTCAGGAACAACGTTAAATTCAAATGATGAAATGAAACGTAAATATAAACCTAGTGATCTTCATTTTCCATCAGTAGCAATTAATCTTCAATGGAATGAATTACTCATAATTGATTGGATAGATATTGATCCACATTCGCAAGAATATTCTTTTTTTAAAGAGCTTGGTGTGAGAGAAGTACCAGATTTACATGAATTAATTAATCGAATTGATCAAGAACATCAAAATGGATCAAAAATAAAATCAAATTATCAGTTACCAAAAGCACTTGTGTTTTTTGCAGAAAATTTTCAAGAACATTATTCAAAAGAATGGAAAAAGTCAAAAATTGAAAAACCTTATCTTCCATCATCTACTTTTCATGTCAATCATTCAAAGAAAGTTATATTAACAACACCTGAACTTGTTTTTCAAAGTTAGTTTTTACAGTATAGTTTTTTTAGTATTAATTTGAAATTTTTATAAAACTAGGACCAAGTCCATTATTTCCATCTTTACTTCCTGATGTAATTCGATGTTTTTCAAAATATTTTAATATTGACTTACTTGGTGTTAAAAAACATCCTCCCTTATCAGTAGCATTTGATGTACTAATGGAAAAACGAAATCAATTATTAACTTTTCAAACAGCTAAACAATATTTTGCTTATTTTAATACGCTAGATGGTCTCAATACAACATTTATTGAATATATTTCAAATATTGCATTTATTCCTTTATCAGGTTTGTTTATTTTTTTTTTATCAATTTAAGAAAACATAAGACATAATATATTTAAGAAAGCAATATCTTTTGTAAACCATCTCAAGTATTTATTCATTCAAAAAGTTCAACAACCGATAAAACATCTCAAGATAATAATAATAATATACTTGACGATGAAGCCGCACGTGGTCTTATCGATTACGTAGATTATGGTGATGAAGCTAATTCATTTCTTCTTAATATTGGAGTTCATGATTATCCATCAGTAGAAAATCTTGCTGATTTACTTATTGATCGACAAGCAACATATTTTAATCGAAATGAAGATACTAATGATGAACTTCTATCAGCTAAAGTACGTTTTTATACAAATTGTTTAATACAATTATCGACTGTATCAAATGTAACACAACCATTACGTAGTCGCTTAATTAATAAACCATGGTGTTTAGCTTATCAAACTCTTGAACAATCCAATGAAACTAAAGATCAAACATTTAAAATTGCTAAACCAAGTGATATTTATTTAGATGATGATCATCAATATACTATTAATCTTCGACCATTATGTGCACCTGATGAACCACAATTAATTAAATTATATGAAAACTTTGGTGCAAAATGGATATCAGAATGTGTTGAACGAATTTTAATAAATCGAGGTTTATATTTAGAAAAAAAAATATTACACCAAATAATTTTTATCTTGGTTGTTTAGGAAAAGTTATTACAACGGATAGAAGTAAAGAATTACATAATCGAATTCTTCATCGTTTAGATATGTTATTTGTTAATAATAGAGTAAGTTGCATTTTTCTTTATTACCGTTTCAAATTAAATTTTTTTTTCAGGGAGAATCTATAAAACATACTGATAAAAAACGTATTGATTTATTACGAAAACAACTCTGTATTTATGAAGCTGAAGGAATTCAGTGGCAATTAACATTGCAAAATAAAACAATCAAATTAAATGTAAGATTTATCAAAAACAAATTTTTATTCAACTTTTATAATAAGACTTTCTTTTTTTAATAAAAGTCTACAGAATATAGTTCATGTGCTCTTGAACATAAAAAAAATCAAGTATGTTTATATATTCACAAAGATGTTTCTACTCTTGATTACATTGATATTGCTACTGAATTGATGAGATTTGTTTGTAAAAAATCAGTTGACAACACATTAGTTCATTCAATCAGTGATAAACTTGCTTCTCCATTAGAAGCACTTAAACGACGTGGCATTCCTGTTGAACGATTATTGAAAAGTGCAGAACAACAACGTAATGTTAACATTATCTTATTCGATTTATTAGAAATTAAAAAAGAATTTTTTTTTCTAGCGACTAAATTGTTGTTACAAGTCGAGAAAACGAAACCAGATATTACACATACAGTTGAAAGAAATCGTATTGATAATTTTGGACGATATAAATCTGAAGATGATGCTGATATTAACAGAATGATTCAAGCAACTCGACCATATTCTCAAATGGAATTTGATCAAACAGAACATTTTATAAATGAAAATAATACATCATGTGAAAATGTTCCAGCTGCAAATATGATTCGCTATAATAAACTTCTTCATGGAATTCCTCTTTATATTGATCAAAATGTTAAATTAACAAAAATTTTGATTCTTCAAGGTAAACATCTTGCTTGGTTATTATCTGGTCTTGCAAAACAAGTATTTAATGTATCTGTAGAAACAATACATTTGTTTCGTGATATTGACAGTTGTAAGTAGATATTATATAATGAAATTCAACTTTTATCATGTTCGGTTTTTTAAGCTCGAATTGCTTTCAATAGTAATGGTGCATTATTCTTCAATCTTCGTTATTTTGAACAAGTATTTTTCGATGATCTCAAACCTTATCTTAAAAATTCAATATCATCATTATCATCATCAACTCCTATTGTTCGCACAATAGTTAATTTTTATTTTATGGTTACTTGTCATGAATTATCACATAATATTGATTTAAATCATGATTTAAATTTTATAAATCATCTTGAAAAGGTTTCTGTTAGATTTATGGATGCAAAAGATGCATTTCTATCTAGATTCTCTTTTCAATAACTAATTATAATCAAATATCTCATTATTTATTTGATTTCTTTTTCTTTTTTCAAATTCTTCTTTCATATAATGTGAAATTAACTGAATAAAAATATGTTTCATACATATTCCAGATGCTAAAAACTAAATTTTGTTCAATTTTGAATATTTCACTTCTATATGTATATATTATCTATAGAGACACATCTAGTACATTAAACTTGAAAGTTGAATTTTAAGTACTGAACTTATCTCGTATTACTACAGAAACACATACAAAATAACTCTTCCCTAGTTGAGTTGAATAGTTGAATACTTGCACTGTACTTCAATAATTGAATTCAACTTTTAAGTTTGATACTACTGATTCATCAAATAAACAAATATGTATTCATGGAAGTTTTCGTTTATAAGCAACCAGTGTTTTCATATGATTATGAATTTTTTTTCCTGCAAACATGATTGTCAATGAGTATGAGCGGACCAACGGAAGGTAGGGGTGCCTTCTTCATCTACAACATCATCCTCAACAACAGTTCAATTCATCCATGACAGGCAAATGCAAGTAGTTTAACATTGTTACACAATGTTATTAATGAATGATATATTCAATGTATACGGTGAATAAAATATCATTTATTAGATAGTCTTACAGAATACATATGACTGCCTTTTAGTGGTGCAATATTTTGCATCAGTCGATTTAACGTTGTATCTGACGAAATGAAATAGAACGAGAAGGTATCATGTTTTAAAATGTTTTTCTTATACCAATAATTACAATTATCATTATGACCATTATATCAGATCAAAATGGTCTTATACCTACCATGCCCATGTTCGATAAGGCAAGGTGATGTACGTTTTTACATTATTATTTATTGGTTGACAATATTAAAAGTTTCTGAGCTGTATTCATTCTTAATCACCATCTGAAAATGAACACTACTTATAATGTGTGATATATCGACATGGCAGACAATAGATAACTAACAGAAATATTGGTTCAATAGAGTGTGACGATTTTGTGGTAGAAGAAATGTTAATATGAATAGAATTATGCTTTATTCTCTTTCTTCATATATCTAATTGTATCACTTCCATACAAAAGTACGTATTTATATATGCAGCCGAGAGAGAGATAAGAAGACAAGAGAAAGAAATACGAAGAGAAAGATAAGGATAACAGAAGAGATAATAACACACAGTAAACTCAGAGAGGAACATTACAAATAGCTGCTATGATAATAGCTATTCTGCAGCTGATTATCACTTGGTCTACTCTTGAATTACAAAGTACTAGTTTAAGAATTGGCACTGTTACTCTTCGCAAAAATGTCAATTCAAGATGCATTATTGAATTCATTAACCCTTCCTTCTTCATATTGAGCCGGATTTCAAATATTCTGCCTAGATGAGAACATTATTATTACAAGAGAAGAACATGCAAAAACGAAATTTGTCCAGAATACGCAATGTCAATATTGTATAGATATAAGTAGACGAGGAGAGATTCTATCCCATTCTAATCAATCCTCAGTAACAGAAAGCTTCTACATCTAAAATTTGCTCTTATTGCTTGCCTGTCAGCAGAAAAAAAAACTTTTTCTCTTGACTAAATAAAACAAAACAACTTTTTACTATACGAAAAACTGAAACTAATTGTATCTTTCTCAAAACTACTGGAGACATTTCTTCGTCAGGTATTTTGTATGTAGGCAAGTATCAATAATGAAAAACAAATCTTTCGCATGTCCTCTCACACTATGCACTAAATCCAGTTTCTCATGATTTTGTACATTTTAATACATTGATCATTAGTATTATCTGTCTCATGAATAATGAAGAAAATCTTCTTTTCTACGCTTGCATATTGTGTTGATGATTGAGTTTCTCAATGAACAACATAGACTCATTCTCTAAAGGACGATCCTTTTTCGCTTATGTTCTTTAATATGGAAATGAATGTCAAACAGATCGATTTGAACTTTAGTCTTCTAAGATGGTTTTGATGTTGGTATGATTTATCAGTGACCGATTTAGAGAAGAAGTTCAGAATGCAATCGGCTCTTGTTAGAAAAATCACATTCGACTTTTTCTGGTCAATTGAAAATAATAGATCCCCATGAAACCTATCATATCTTGTTGAGTCTCTGTATGTGTGCAGTTATAGAATAACCTTTTCTTACTCACCTCGTGTGTGTCATCTTGTATATGAGTAATTTTTTTTTCTTTCTTCAAATTCTTTCACAATCATGTGCTCCTTGCCACGTTGTCATTTATGGTACACGTGGCAATGTTTGACATTACTTTTCTATTACCGAACGATAATAAGAAACCTACTCAAGTCAAGCATTTTATCGAAAGATGAGACGTGTGTGTGAATTGTTCCTAGCTGCTTTGACGCTTGTTATTATTGCCAGCTTTCTCTATGATGTATCGCCGGTCTCTCTCTACTCAGACTTTACACAATATGTTGTCGAACCACTTCTTCATCGGGGCATTGGCCGTTTTTTCGTCTTTGGTTTAGCTTGCATCCTCGTGATTGCTGTTCTTGTAAGTCAATTCATGTGTTTTATTGTCAACATTTCATAGTTATTCGCATTATAGGAGCGCCGCACAATTTCTAGCCTATTTCTAGTGTTGGGTGGGATTTTTATCGTTCTGTTTACTATACCAATCGCTTCTCTCATCGTGAGCATCGCAAAGTACAACGATTGTCCGATACAACCGCTTCTTCCTCATGGATTTTACCAATTTGGCCTCTTCAGCTTAGTCTGCAGTTTTCTCTGTTTAATTCTCGTAAGCATCATAATTTGTTATTGAAACCCCAAATATTCGTTGGAGTACTATCGAGTAAAAAGAGGACTTTTGGAAATAATAGTTACTCGAATCTCGAAAGAAACAAAGTCTAGAAAGAAAAAGATCGAAGAAGTAAAGTTTCAAAACAATTGAAATAGCAAAAAATTTCGAAAATACAAGATGTGAAAAAAGTCAAAACTTATAGAAGCAAAATCTTACAATAAAAATTTAATGATTAAATCATCGAATAAGTTCAATGGCACAAGTGAGAATATCATTTGTTTATCTTCTACTATCTTATCCGCCGCTTATAGTGACTTCTTTACTTCTACGTTGCTATTCTCTGTTCTGCTGTTATGAGCAAACTATGACTCATGATGATCAATATGAAATAGAAAGCAAGAAGAGGAAGAAGACGAAAAGATTTCTTTTCATCAAGGAGAATTTAACGTTTTGAATTTGAGATTTTAATATCTTAACTTCAACAGATTATATACTTCTAAAAGCAATTAGAAAGTCTTTATATCGAGGCGCTAGAAATCTGAATCAACATTTGCAAGGTATATCTTGTGATTCTTAGATAGTGATTAGCTTCGTTAAAACTGATGATCAAGGAACACATATGTACTATTTGCTATACGCCCTTATCGTATTGGCTATCTACGGTGTTGTCGGACTTCTGTGGGCATTGAAGGTAAATGCTATTAGAAAATAACGCTCAGATTGACATATTTCTAATTTAAAGATTGCTTCCATCGTGCACACAACTTATTCTTACTATCAGTCGGAAGATCCGACCGATCTAACATCGTATTGTCACCAATGGATATACAATTTTAGTCTTATTTTCTCAGGAAGCATGATTGTGGTAGCAATCATCTTATCAATGTACTTCATCCGGCGCTGTTACGGAAAGTTTTGCGTAAAAAGCAATGTGACAAATGTGCATTATCAATAGAAACGATTTAATCAAATATTTTTTGTATCGCGTCTTCAATTTTATTTATGTTAAAGAATTTGCTTGCAAAAAAACTAGACATTTAATGACAACCAGAGTGACATTGTTCATTTTGACTAGAATTCATGTCCGTATTCATTACGCGATGCCAAACGTATCAACATCGAATCTGGACGAAAACTGATTAATCTTTTGTGCGACAGCGCAGAACTTGTTTTTCTCATTGTTAGACAAAGACAAGCAAACGATGATAGAGCTCAAATAGAGAAAGATGGCACTCTTCAAATCGATCATGCCGATGGGCAGATTCGACAGACAATATTCATCTTTACATTGCTCGTTTTGATCCAATTCTCTTGCGAGGCGAGGATTCGAGAAATATCAATGAAGGAAGAAATAATATTACTCTAGATGAGCCAGGATTATGGGATAAAAGCAAAGTACCCGGACGCAGAGTGAAAAATTTACTCAACAGTAAAGTTAGAATCAGTATTCGAAATATAAACTAATGTATGTGGACATTTTTTGAATAACTTCAAAACTAAAAAAGAGAAGTAATTCGAGTTTTTCGTAATATTTAG